CCGCGGGGCGGGGCGGCGTGGAGGGGGTGTTGGGGTTGTGAAGTCCCCCACATCTTAAAGTCACTACGGTTGAGGAACGCTTTTCTAACCTAGCTGAAATTTTGGCTTAATGTGCTTATGATGTGATCCTAGCCTATTATGCTTTGTCAACAAATCTTGCCTTGGTACCATCATGACCCAAGGGATGTGTTCTTGAGATTGGCTAGTGGTAGTAAGGGAACCAATTTTCTTTCTGTACAGGGACCTTTTCAGCCAGGTATCGCAAATGAGTATGTAACTCCCCAGTTCTATTTTCTTGTAGAATATTTCTTATCAACAACTAAATGTAAAGTCAATGTATATAGTGTACATTTATGTATTGACTGAGTGCTTGGTTACCAATAAAGTGCGCAATCTAATTCCGTATCCACCTGTGGCGATCTAGTACGACTGCTTTGAAATCCATTTAGGCAACGAAGCCGTCACTTTATCTAAAAATAAACGTGAATTTGACGAAGGGGTGCTATTTCTGCTTAAACACTACAACACTCAAGTACTGGAGGGAAAGTAAATGAGACCTTGCTGGTAACGGCAATTGAACCAAGAGCTGGTTAAACTCGTGTGACCTTCAGAGGATTTGTGCTGAAACAACAGTTCATACCCATCAGCTACAGTCAGATGTAACTGAACTAACCACAGAAACGCATTTGATTTGATTTGTTGGATTTATATACTATATAAATTTTACATGCCATATATTTACAAGTGGGGCAAGTGCTTTTATCTTTAAAAAAACAAAGATCAAACTTTAGACATCTCTGAACAACACGGCTTGTATAAATCAGACAGATTATTCAGATGAACTGTATTTAATACAGTTTTCCCCACTCTGTCTCCTGATGCAGGACCAGTGAATTAAGTGTATCACAGTTTGATAGCATTTCATCATTAAAAAATAAAAATAAAAATAAATCACAGTATGAACGTGTCTGTAACTAGAAACTTTGAAGGGACAAGAACCAGACGGCTGAGACCTGTCAAGACAAGCATCACTACATTAAAATTAAACACAATAAAAACTTAGCGGAAGAATGAAAATGGCTCCTTCCGGCAGCTATGGACCCGGCACCTGCTCTTGCGTACTTCCGGCGTAGGCCAGAAGCCCAGATACAGTAACGCAATCTGAGCGCTTCTAAAGAGCAGTAGAGTAACTCTGCAGAGCAGATAGATGCCCGAGGACAAAGCGACAGAGGACAGGAAGAAAAGCTGAAAAGGGATGGAGGGAGGGAGGGAGGGAAGGAGGGATAGAAATAAAAAAGGAGCAGCTGAGGGCCTACAGGAGGGTACAGCAGGAGACGCTGCAAAAGGCAGACAAGGATCGCTCAAGTGGGGGAAACAGAGGCAGAAGCATTTCCCGCAAGAAACTGGCTGCCCAAACACTGCAATGGCCAGTTGGTGTTGAAATGAATTCCGGGAACCCAAAGATTAGGCCGGAGGACAGGCTGCGGTGACAAGCGGTCTTCGGACATGTTCTGTGATACATTCAAAAACTGGCAAGCGTCTGAACAGCACACACTTCACAAAGTCCAAGACTGGAATCCAACAAAAGAAATGACGTTGAGTTTCTAGTAGCAGACATCCGAGGGAAACCGATGGAGCTCTCGCAAAAATCCAAGTTGCGTGTGAAATGTTTAAATAATTATTTAAATTAAATAGACACTATCAGTTGCAGCTTGCTAATTCTGTAGTTTCCTCGCCCCTTGCGCCAAATATGTAGACTTGGAGCAACATCACGTGGACAAACACATTCAACCTGAGTCGTGGAACGAAGCAGCATTTGAGATGTTCTGATCCAGGGCAGTATTTCTCACTGTGACATTGACAGTTCACAATGTTCAGCAGCTGTAGAAAGTGTCCATCCTCTTGTGTTTTGGGATTGCAGAGAATTTTTTTTTTTAAAAAAAGAAGAAAGACTCTAGGTAAAAACTAAAAAAAAAAAGGGGGGGGTTCTTCAATGGTAAAATCCTGTACAGTATTTTCTGAAGCACCAATTATGAATTAAAGAGTTAATCGCTTTTCGGTTTATAAATACACTGTAAGCTGTGAAGGAATAGCTTCCAATGGACACTCCGGATCTGAAAGGCAAGGATGACAATGTGATTTTTGAGGCAAAGAGGAGGTTTTCGTGGCCCAACACTTCTCAGCCTTACTGGCATGTGACAACTCTACCACCTGCACTGCTGAAAAACCATCACTTCTCGTCTTTCTCTGAAACAAACTAGTCCGTAGCAGTGAGAATGCAGAAAAAGCCAGCAATCGTTAAGAACAATTCTGCAGCTTTAAAACTGGTGCTTAACATTTCCCTTCCCATGGTGGTTATCTAGCTCCTAGCCACAAATAACAATAAAAAAAATTGAACAAATACTAGAAAGCTCAAGGAATCCTTCACTTTGGAATCACAGATTCTCTCCTTGCCTTCAAGAAGGCTGTTACGATGCTGGGTCAGGAAGGGAGGTGAGCCTGGCGTTTGTGGTTCTGCGATGGAACTGTTAGGGCGCTTGGTGGTTTGAAAGGGTTTTTTAATTCTGCGCCTTTGGTTATTTAATTGCTGTTAGCCACCCAGAGTTATTTTATAAAGTATGGACGGCCATATATGGGGGTGGTTAGTGCCCTGATGATGCTCCCTGAGTTATTTGCCAATTCTCCATCATTCTTGGAATTTATTTATTATTAAGATTGTTTTCATATTGCATTTTAATGGATTTTAACTCTGTTGTTAAACTGCCCAGAGTCATTTCAACGAGATGAGTGGTGACAAATCTGATCTATAAATAAAATAAATAAATATAAATCTTTTAAATAAGTACAGTAATCACTGAAATAAATGGAGGATGCCCAGCTCTTGGCCAGAATGCACCCAGCTAGAGACAGCATTCTGAAATACTTGCTGGAATTTGGTATCTGCTACCAGCAATACTACCATTCTCTAGCTGGCTTCCAAAAGCGACAAGCTAGGGTTATATCAGAATAATCCCATGGGGGCTTGGTGGTCCAGATGAGCATGATCCAGACCTTCTCAAACTCTGAATGCAAAAGGCAGGGCCCATTATTAGACCCTGCAGGTAGAAGGGTCTGCTGGAGTTTGCTTCTAAGGTTGGTTGGCATAACTGTGGTTGGATGAAGTCCGAAAGAAAAGAGATCAACTGGTGCCCTTGGCTCCATCACCTGAACCTTTACTAAAAGACTTTTGGCATAAAAATGGAGCTGGAATGCCGTTGCATGAAATTGTGAGAGAAGGTGAGCGATAATAATAATAATAACAACAGTAAGCTAAAAGGAGAGGCTGAAGAGACTTGGGCTCTTCAGCTAGACTGAGGGGAGATGTGTGTCCAGGTACACAAATGGAAGCTACAGAGAAGATGATCAAGAATGATTTTCTATGGCCTTAGAACCTAGGACCAGAAATAACACGTGAGTTACAGGTGTCTGTATTTTGCTTGAAGATAAGGAAAAAATTGTAAACTCTGGAGGTTTTACCTCTTGTGAATACTTTCATTAATTTTCCTGCCCAGAGGGTTGGACTAGATCAGTGTTTCTCAGACTTGGCAACTTTCAGATGGGTGGACTTCAACTCCCAGAGTTCCCCAGCCAGCATTTGTTGCTTAGTTGCAACACTGCAACAGTGAGAAACACTGATCTAGTCCAACCCTCTGGGCAGGAAAATTAATGAAAGTATTCACAAGAGGTAAAACCTCC